GCATCGTGCTAAGCACATGGCACATGGCGCGGCACGACGCGACAATGCATTCGGTAGCCTCTCGCGCAGGGGGTCTTTTGCCGTCTTGACCACAAATGACCCCCTGCACCAGCCGGTCAGATCGAACTGATGCCTTAATATGGTCTCTGCACACATGGTCAGGCCTCAAGTCTCTATACACGGTAGTACTTCCAAGGCCTGTCGTATATCGACCACTGAAGTGATTCTGGTGGCTTCCCTGGTGTTTGAGTTGTTCTCCTGAGGCTTGCTCTGCCTGTCATCTTTCTCACGATGCTCTCGACAGCATTGCCACACGCCCGAGTTTAAACCCAGCCCTCAAATCGTCTTGGTAAATTCCTTTCCATATCTCTGCGGATTAGCAGCGATTCCCCATACGGAGCAGCAAAGAGCCCATGGTCTCCTCTCACAGGCGGTTGGCGCATCGCCGCGCCAAATGCATCCTCTCAGGTGTCGCTCGCGACATTCTACCCGGCGAGGCCCGGTTCTACTCGTTCTACTCTCCCTCGCTCAAAGGCGGCTTGCACACTGTCAAAGTCAGTCAAACTATTTCAGCGCCCCCCGACAAAGCCGCCGAGGGACCCGATAAAGACAAGCGCCGCGAAGATGCCATCGCCGAGGAGTCGCAGAACCTCTATGTCGTCGCACCCAAGTTCAACTTGCCTGTCGGGTGCATTGATTCGATGTTTCCAGCCCCTGGTGCAATGACCGAGGTGACAGTGCTGCCTCACATGAGCTTCAAGGACCCTCATCTCCCGTGGGAACGAGAAGCTGCCTATAGCCCTGACGATGCTTCAGACAAGGACGAAAAAGGAGACCCCCGTCGCCTGACGCCGTGGATTGCACTGCTGGCCTTTGCCGTCGACGAGCTGAAGCTCCCTCCGGCCGACCTCGCCGGCCTTCTCGCGACGGTGACCACAGAGGTCGATGGCAAACAGAGTGAAAGTATGGCTGTCCGCATGAGTGCCGGGCAAATCCCCAAGCTCGGCGAAAATTCCCGTCTCTGCAATGCTATATCGTTTGACAAAGACGAGGACGCACGGGAGACAGCAGAGCCCATTGATGTCATCTTCCTGCCCAAGAGCCTCTTCGTGCCGCTCTTCAGCAAGCCAGGCAGTGTCACGGCTCTCGACAACACCAAGCACAAGTATCTCGCTCACGTTCGACAAGTGGCAACCGACGGTATGGCGGCTGCCGGGTCTGAGCTCGGCTCGGATCCCAAGTCTCTCGAAGCCCTCTTCAGCATCGTCCTGTCCCATCGTACAGGACCCATCGGTGCCCCAGTGCCGACGAACATGGTCGTTCACCTCGTATCCCTTGATATGCCAAATAACATCACGCTGCCTCTCTCGGAGAATGTCACGCATGCCGCTCTTCTCAGTCTTCACAGTTGGACTTATACCTGTAGGCCCTCAAACGAAGACGCAAGCTCATTTTCCCGTTTGACGCATCTCGGCAATACATTAACGGTTGCGCGGCCTGAGCTGCCAGAAGACCGACCTGACATGCCATCATCGCCCTCAGTCAAAGACCTTGTCGAGCAGCGTCAGAGAGACGGGTACACGCTCGTGCGTCATCGGACGGTAACAGGGGAAGAAACGGCTGCTATGGTGCGAGGACCCTTGACGCCGACCTTTGTGCCGCACCCGCTGCGCGAGGGGTTTGTGATGCAGTCCAATTTTGGCACCGACCTTCAGATCCTCGATCCAGATATATCGGTGATGGACCTCACCTACGCCAGTGCCTGGCAGCTTGGCAAGACATTGGCCATGGGTGATCAAGCCTTCTGCGTCGCTCTTTCACGCCTGCGCATGGCCATCGACTCACAATCTCAGGGTGCCGCCAAGCGCGATGTTCACATGGCCATCGGCGAGTATGCGTCTCGTAAAGAGACAGTCTCCCATGTGTTTGACCTTGTCCGCGGCCTTAACGACCTCAATGAAAACCTACTGCAGAGTGATCGGGAAGCTGTTAAGGCCGCCACGACCGCCAGCGGCCGCCGATGGGACGTTGAACACAATGACGTGCAGGTCACGGATGGAAGGCACGGCAGCATCGATACGTCGCGACGCTCGCAGCATATGGCACCTCGGACATCAGCGCACGCCGACGCCGCTGCAGCATCCTTCGCTCTTGCGACTGACGGCACGCTCTATAACGAGCACAATGTGCCGACCAACACGGACAGCTCCTACGTTTATTCGTGGATCATTGATAAGGTTCACCTCGCCAATGTACCCGCCCACTATCTCGTGGTTGAACCATCCCACTTGCCTGAGGAGACGCTTCGCTTTTGCTACTTTGACGAGAACTGGAGCGATGCTCTGATCGACGGCGCCTTGAGTCTTGCCAACCACTGGGCCAGCGAGCCTTCTGCAGATGAGAGCCGCGCAGCCATTAAAAAGGCCGTGAACCTACGCCTCAGGACCCCCGATGAGAAGTTGGGTCATGTTCAAATGCCCAAGTTCGGCTTCCTCATGCGCTCTGTACTACTGGCTCAGTTCCCGGATATGACTGTCAGCGTAAAGTATGCAAAGAGCTCAACGCTAGGGGCTGCATCTGCAAGTTCATCAGGCCCTGAGGAGCCCATACTTTTGCAGAAGCGGCTCGCACCTGATACCATGTTCTGTCTGCTTGATCGGGCACCACCCGAGCTCGAGGGTATCACCTTCACGCTGCCACCCCATCAACAGTGCTTCACCATCGGCGGCTCCCTGACTACTGAAGATCTGACGGTGAACTTTCGGCGCATCTACACCGCCACCGAGGTCAAAGAGCCGGCGAAGCGCAGGCTACCGCTGGGCAGGCCCGAGGTCTTCAAGCCGACGGACACCACCCCCGTATTCGACTGGAACTTACGCACCCTCCATGTCGAAGCTTTTGCGAACCTGCAGCTGAAACGCCTGCGCGATGGCCTCGGCGACGAATTCATTGACACAAGGGCGACCTCGGCCTTGCTAGCACTGCAACTCAACGATCCCATCCTGCAACTTGACATTGGCGACTTGTCGAGGCAGGTCTCAACAAGGAAGCCCACCGTTTTTCAGTTCTCCATCCCTGAGGCCAAACGGGCTCAACCGCCTGAATTGTCGCCCCTCCCTCAGCGCGTCTGGTCCGGCGCATTACCGATGCACCGTCCAAGGCCCCCGTCACCTCGTCAAGAAGCAGCACTCATCGCTGAATACGCGGAGGCCGCCAGGCAGGTTTCAAATTCACTCGCTTTCGATGCGGCTTCCGCCCCAATTCCTGACCCTCCAACATTTGACGAGACGTTTGCCAACCGGCCCAAGTTTCGCCTGAAGGTCTACCCTGTGCGCTCACGCGACTTTGTCCCCAGTAACACAGGTCTACCCCTCGACCTAGTCTTCAGCATCGTCTACGTCGAGGGCCGTGCCACCGAGCGCCTGCGCCGCCTAACAGTCGAGGTTCCCTGCGGTGCCATGCCCTCCGAGGGCCGCGGTGGCGAGGATGATCCGCTGCTGACGCTGCTGAGTGAAAACGCCGATCCGCCAACGCCTACCATGCTGTCGAACCTGCGCTTCAACGTGCTCAAGAGGTGGAGGGATGACGAGAAGGGACGAGGACGCTATCTTGTTTTGGACCTCGTGCCACGGTCCAAGGATGGTGTGCCCGTCGACAAGATTAAGGAGGCGAGCTTCTTGCTGAGTCGGGCGGACATTTGTCTGTACGAAGGTGCCGAACCGAGGCTTCCATTTGTCAATCTTAAGTATGATTATGGCGACTGGGGGGACAAGAGGTGGAATGATGGGAGGCGGGTCGAAGTCAGGCCATTGCCATCGAAGTCTGAAGTGCCGCCGACTGAATGATGGGGGGCTCCAAGAAGTCGCACGCATCGTTGATCGCCTGGTTTCTGACGTGGTTGTTATCATGACTTTCCTTGTCGATATACTTTTTACGGACTGATAATATCAACAAAGCGTTTCTGAACGGTCGAAGCGCTAGTTGAACCATATCTACATACTTATTCTTGACTTTTAATGTCCCTTTCACCCTGAGTTTGCCCGTGGAAAAGTAGGCCTCACCTGCTGGGAACAACTTGTGTCTCCATCCAGGAGACCTTAGTTCGGGCTCTCCATCACTCCCGTGAGCCTTACATGTCCTGAAGTTGGCATGGGACTGTCCTAGAGTTACGTCGGTGGATGAAAACCAGGAAATCAGAATAACCAAGCCCCATAACAGTCTTCCATCATTTCCTGCGGTGATATAGTAGGACTCAAAACAGGCGCTGTCACCAAATTCACTTCTTGTATCGATTATGGAAGTCACAAATTTGACAGCTTGGTCAACTCTCCCAGTGATGTTTTGCGTGTTCATCGCCTCGGAGAATACTGTCATGAGTTTGGCAAAGTAGGCTGGAAAGTTGACCTGCTTCTTGCAATGTACAGCGATTGACCATCACATCTTCTGTCGAACTCTGATGTAATAGAATAAGGTTTGTTGAGTATCTTTACAGCATTAACAGAGATTTCGAATACGGGTTAATGGCCTGGATGTCCTGGCGTGAGAAGTGCGCCGGCCCGTACAGCAGATGATGTGACGAAGATTCCCTATCGAGGAGTACCATGATTTCGTTCTGCCTCCACTTTGAGATGAACTTGCGTCACCTGCTTATTCAGGCAGCTCACTTGGGATGTTCTTGCATGCATTCAAGAACTGATGCACCAGTTGCACACCAAGTCCGTACCTTGCACTGAACATCCGGATGTCGTGCCGACGCCGAGGTGCCAAGAATACACCAGCAGTCACCTTTCTGTCGCTCCCGAAATTCTTCAACGCTAGCATTCCCAATGCCGGCCGGCTGTTTATTCCTCTGTGGGATCCGCCTTGGCGATCGCGAGCTTGGAGAACGACGAGAATGCCGATAGTCAAAGCTAGTCAGATCGCTCATGGCACCAGGCGATGCACGAGTCTGTGACCCGAGCTTCCTGTCTTAGCCAGGCCTCACGCTGTCTTGCATGGAATGCTAGCCGTCTCAAGCCAGCTCCGCGGTCTGTTCCTCATCGAGAAGTTCGGTAACAAGCCACACGCACAAAGGCCGCAAGTCCCTCTCGCCCTTTCACGATGCCACCGAAGCCATGGTGGCATGCAGAGATAAGATCGCGACATGAATTGATGCACGCAAACAAAAAGGAAGGTCGACGCCGTCTCCCACTTCGACAGCGCGCTTTGATCTGCGTCCTCGCAACCCTGAGGGCCCATCTTGCACGCTGAGATCCAAGGGAGAGCAAGCTTCTCTTTCCCCACACCCTTCAGCCGATCAGGCCTGCTGCCGATCCTCTTTCATAGGGCCGTGATTTCGACGCGGCAGTCGAGTGCCGCCCAAGATCTCCATCAGGGGCCCCAGCTGCCTATTCGGGCGATGCCGGCCGAATGGCGCCATGATCACGATGGCTCCCCCACGTCACATCGCATTGCAGACCTTCTACTTCGAGAAGCCGGCGCGTAGTGTCTCCTGGATCGTAATCAGAGGTCATCGGATTCGCAGCATTCCTAGTGGCAAAGGCCCCTCGAGATCTATAAACAATGATGTGTCTCAGCACCGGGGAATCGCTGTGAATGCCGCCTTCACTCCTCCTTTCCAACGATACTGAGGTCTCCGAGCAAGCATCCAGCCACGTTCGTCGTACGCGCAGACGCCTTGCTCTCAACATCATGAAGGCAACTTTCCTCAAGGCTCTGGCCCTGACGGCCGTCGGCTCGACTGCGGCCAAGGAGCTCCAGCCCAATGCGCTGATCAGCGAGATCTACGACAGCGGCGCCATCCACAAGGACCTGATGGCCCGCAAGCACGTGCGTTGATTGGACGTTCAAGACTTGCTTAAAGTAATCTGACTTTCTATCAGGCTTCATGGGACCGACAAATCGCCAGCGGCGAGATGAACTCAACCATCTACCAGAGCCGTCTTGCCGCCGATGGCCCCGTCCCCTGTGTGAAAGGCGTTGCCGCCGTTGTGCCAGGTGACCGCCTGAACACTTTCAAGTGCAACAAGGTAGCTTACCATTTGTCTCACCTCACAAAGCTGTGAGTAACCCTGTCTGACACACGCACAGGTCGACTTCTACGACTTCAAGAGCCATGCCGCCCTCGGCAGTAAGACGGGCCAGGGCTCCTCTTCGTGGGGCTGGACGGCGCCCAACGGCCGTGAGTTCGTCGTCGTTGCCCAGGCCGACGGCGCCAGCTTCTCCGAGATCACATCGGCGGGTAAGCTCGTCTACCTCGGCCGCCTGCCGCCGTACTCGACCAACTCGATCTGGCGCGAGTTGCGCGGTTACAAGAACTTCATCGTCATCGGCAGCGAGGCATCGCGCCACGGTGTGCAAATCTTCGACCTCAGCAAGCTGCTGACCGTCAACCCGGCGAGCCCCGTCACTTTTTCCAACTCGCGCGATCTGACAGGATATTGGAACGGCCTGCCCGCGGGCTCGACGCACAACATTGTGATCAACGAGGAGAAGCAGTATGCTGTCGCTGTCGGCGCGCAGCCTCGCACCAGCACATGTCGCTCGGGTCTCATTTTCATCGACCTCAAGAACCCTGCCAAGCCCACCACTCTTGGTTGCGCCGCCGGAGACGGCTACGTTCACGATGCCCAATGCCTCGTGTACAGGGGTCCTGATACGAAGTACCAGGGCCGCGATATTTGCTACGGCTACAATGAGGACACCTTGACCATGTAAGATCACCTCGTCTCAGGGGAAAAGAACAGCTTGGCTGACATACAATCCCAGCTACGACGTCACCGACAAGACGACCACCAAGATTATCTCGCGCACCAGCTACGAGGGCGCCAGCTGTAAGTGCCCTTCACGACCCAATGCTCGCTTAATCCCCATCCCTAACTTGAGTACAGACACCCATCAAGGTTGGGTCACGAACACGCAGTGGCAGGAGTACCTCGTACTTGACGACGAGTACGACGAGTACGACAAGACGGGCGCAGCCGCCAGTGGCTACCCAATCACCTACTTCTGGGACATTCGGTCGCTTGAGAAGCCCAAGCAGACGGGCTACTTCAAGAGCCCGGCCTACGGCATTGACCACAACCAGTTCGTCATTGACGGCTTTGCGTACCAGAGCAATTACGGCGCTGGTCTGCGTATTCTTGACGTGTCGTCCCTGCCGCAGGACCCCACGGGCAAGCTCGTCAAGGAGGTCGGCTTCTTCGACGTCTACCCGGAAGATGACCGTAACGCCAACGGCGGGTCTATCGATTTTGTCGGTACCTGGAGCCACTACCCCTTCTTCAAGAGTGGCTTCATCCTCGTGAACACGATCGAGCGGGGTGCGTTTGTTGTCAAGAGGCAGAAGTAAGCTGCCGAGGGAGGGCTGCCGGGCTGGCTTGACCTTTGGAAAAGAAGATAGGCGCGGCTATCGGGGTTTCTTCATGACGGAAGGTTTACCTTGCTATGAATAAATACATATTGTCTCCTGGCCTATCAAATACATGTCTGACGATTTGGTGAGGTGAATGCCCAGCTCCTGGGGTAGATTTACTCTCCAACTCATGGTCGCCATCGGCCAATGAGTAAAGACATGACTCCAGTCACCAACCCATGTCCCACCGCTTACAGCGTCAAGTACTGTAGGGGAAATGCCGGCCGCTAGTGCCACAACGCTGGCCGGAGCACATAACCGGTGCTGCAGCCAAGACTACGAGCCGGACATCCACGCAAGTCGCAGAACATCTTGCGAGTGCTTGCGTCCGAACAGAGCCAGCAAGCGGTGTGGCTGCCGAAGGCTCATGAAAGGTCGTTGCATGCCACTTCCCTGAAGTTTCCAATTGGTGTTTCCTCATATCTGGCGTCTATGACGTCCCAGCGTACCAAGGTCTAGCTGTTAAACGTTCAATGTTGAAATTGGGGGTTCGCAAGTTATCAGTTGAGTGCGGGAAACAAAATGCCGTACAAAAGTCTGCGATAAGGTTGTAAGCTCAAAGTCGCAGCCGTTGCGTGTACGTCAAGCTGGGCGTATGACGCTGCTTCCCGCTTGTGCAATGTCGCAAAACCTGGCCACGGAGGCTGGACGTCTTGAAGCTTTCGCCACCACGCAGTGCGTCCTGGTCAACACGAATCACGCTCCACAGTGAAGCCTGCTCCACTTCTGACAGCTTCGACGGATCGCCGGCAGTTGGATGCTGGCGCTATCTTTTGAATCTGTCGCGACAAGGGCCCACGTGGGTGCCGTGTTTTGAGGCGAGGGAGCACGAAGCAACACTACCCTTGGTGAAGCCAGAGAAACCGGTACCCTGTCCGGCGATAAAGATCACAAATGCTGACATACATTTACTGAGCCAGGAAGGAGGGGCATCGACCCCGAACCTCGGCGCGCCATCTGGGCCAGGGTTTCATCTGAGAGCTCTCTGTTCCCGGAGCGTCGTACTGGAGCTCCTTCCAACTGATTTGCGGCATTTGCACATAGACACAAGGAAATCCCCGAAGGCTGTCGTCCCGTCACCGCCATGCCGTGCACGTTCCGGGAATTCGAACGGCGGTAGACACCAATCCTCTCACGGTCCATTTCCCGAAAGCCGGGCGCATTTTGGTACGGCAATAGTGTGGTGGTAGGGCCGGTTTGGGCGATGGGCCCCGCTTGTAAGTCCGACAACGAGAGGGAGCATGGGTGAGACTGGCGATTTCTTGAGAAGTGTGGAGCCCATGTCGGCGATAACCGATTCTGTCAGAGATTTCGCGGCGACCCAGCACGCTGGACATCTCTTGCGTCATTGGCAGAACCGCTGATAGCAGGACAATGTGAACGGGGCCGGCAAGAATTGGATGTTTGAAGACGTCAATGGAATCGAAAAAGCCCCAGGCTCAGCCTTAACTCCGGTGATGATGCGTAATCGACTCGAGTCTTGTCGGCCATGTCAACAGGTCGTGATCGAGTATAAAGCATGAGGCCATCCTAAAGCTGTCTAGTCAAGCTGTGAGCAACATACAACACTCACACTCTACCAATCTCGCAACACTTGCTTTGAGACTCACTCACATCCTTTTCGTCCAATCCAACGCCACATCAATCACCATGAGCACCGACTACAAGTTTGAAGGCTGGCTCGGCCTTAGCCCTGAGTCCGCCGAGGGCAAGATGGAGTGGGGTTCCTTTGAGCCCAAGAAGTGGACAGAGGACGACGTCGACATTCAGATCACACACTGCGGTGTCTGCGGCTCTGACATCCATACCCTCCGCTCCGGCTGGGGCGCGGCCACGTACCGTAAGTCGAGCGATCTCCCATAGCCTCTCCGCAAGTGCATACACTTACAAGTACAGCCTGCTGCGTCGGCCACGAGATTGTTGGCAAGGCCGTCAAGGTCGGTGCCAACGTCAAGCACATCCAGCTGGGCGACCGCGTTGGTGTTGGAGCGCAGGCCCGCGCCTGTCTGCAGGCCGACTGCCCCGAGTGCTCCATCGGCAAGGAGACGTACTGCTCTCGCGGCAACGTTGGCACGTACAACAGCAAGTACCCTGGCGACGAGGGCCAGTCATTTGGCGGCTACGCCGACTACAACCGCACCAACGGCAACTTTGTCGTCAAAATTCCCGACGGCATTCCTTCGGAAGAGGCAGCACCCATGCTTTGTGGTGGCGTTACCGTGTTCGCGCCCCTGAAGCAGAACGGTGCGGGTCCCGGTAAGACGGTCGGCATTGTCGGCGTCGGCGGCCTGGGCCACTTCGGTATTCTCTTCGCCAAGGCCCTGGGCGCCGACCGTGTTGTCGGCATCTCCCGCAAGAACGACAAGCGCGAAGATGTCTTGAAGCTCGGAGCTGACCAGTACATCGCCACTGGCGAGGATGAGGGTTGGGAGAAGAAGAACGCGCGCTCGCTCGACCTCATCATCTGCACGGTGTCCAGCTCCAACATGCCTTATACTGGCTACCTCGGCCTGCTGAAGCCTGGCGGCAAGCTCGTCCAGGTTGGCGCCCCCGACGGCGGTAACCTGCCCCCTGTCAACGCCTTCTCCCTAATCCTCAACGGCATCAACCTGGGTGGTAGCCTGATTGGCACCCCCAACGACATTCGCGAGATGCTCGAGCTGGCTGTTGAGAAGAAGGTCAAGCCCTGGGTCGAGACTAGGCCGATGAAGGATGCCAACAAGGCCATTGTCGACTTTGAGGCGGGCAAGCCTCGTTACCGCTACGTGCTGGTGAACGAGAAGCACCTGTGACTAGATGATCAGATTTCTGGACGGGCGATGCTATAGATACCACGATATGATTGATGAGCGACTGCTGGCATGCATAGACGCATAGAAAAGCATACATAGAAAGCCTTGATTTTGAGACATGGAATTCCCCAATTGTTTGTGAGTTGGAGTAGCATGTGAGTTACGCGATGCAACGTGGTGACTGTGTAGTATGTGTCGAATGATTCACTGTTCCTCATACAACACGGACCGGACCCACGGCTGGCGATTGACCAGTGTTTGCACTTGTGTCCCCGTTTTGCTGGACGAAGTGATCGGTGCGCGTATACGGCATGCTTGAATTGAATCGAATCGCGTTAGGCGAAGGGCTATCAACTGCCGGATTCCAGGGCAGCTTGCGTGGCGAGGGTATAGTTCACCTGACCATTGGGTATCGACCTGAGCTGACCATTGGGTCCTCTTTTTTTCCGCGCTAGCTTATCTAAGACCTGATCTGACCATTGGGGGGTGCTATGGGGTGCTATTAGAAGCTGTACTAGAATATCACGTGCCCCGGTTACCTAATATAATAGAGGCCAGGCAGGACCGCTAAATCCACTGAGGCCAGACCACTAAGTCTACTAAGGCCAGGCAAGACCGCTAAATCCACTGAGGCCAGACCACTAAATCCACTGAGGCCAGACCACTAAATCCACTGAGGCCAGACCACTAAATCCACTGAGGCCAGACCACTAAATCTACTAAGGCTAAGCTATCAAGTCTATTTTTTTTTTATTCTAAGTTAATTTATAATCTATTCTGAATCGATTCTAAATAGATTCTGAATAGATTCTAAATCGATTCTAAATAGATTCTAAATCGATTATTAAAAATAGAGAAATCGGTGAATATTAGGTAATCCTATTTTACTATATTCACCCCTTTTCAGCACCCCCCAATGGTCAGGTCAGGTCTTAGATAAGCTAGCGCGGAAAAAAAGAGGACCCAATGGTCAGCTCAGGTCGATACCCAATGGTCAGGTGAACTTATTCCTCTTGCGTGGCTGTGGTGTTAATACGAGATGAGTTGAGGCCCATGTCCTGCCATCCCGTCGCGATGTTCCGTCAGCCTGCCTTCCTTTCTTTCTCGAGCATTCACCGTGCACCACTATTCGGTAGAGTCGATCAATCCTCAGCCACTCCTTCCCATTGAGACCCGTCATCCCTTCCTCCCTTCCTCCCTTGGGACGGCCTCGGTCTCGGGGTCGTCGGCGCGGCGTCGTACCTGCCTCCTCCATGCGTGATCTCCACACTAATGTCGTATTAATGTCTCCTAGCACCAATCACATGCTGCACAGAGCCACCCCTTCCCCTGTGTCAGGCACGCCCAGACCAGCATCCTTCTTCCTTCCTCAATTCTTGCTGTGTTCCTCGTCTCGAAAAGTTGGGCGCCTCCTCCCTTCCTCCTGCTCGTGGTTTCGACCTCTCCCCATTCCCCACTCCCCACCTTTCTTGCTCTTCAGGTTCTCCTCCACTGGTTTGCATCTCTGCATCCACTGTTGTCTCCTTTCTGTCTACCTACTCACATTCCCTTGACTTCATTCATCTCACCTCGACTTCGGTGTGTCATCTCACCAGACTTTCGCTTCCCTTCCTTCAAACCTTCGACCTTGCGCCACTTCTCTTGGCTTTCGCTCTTTTTCTCTCCGTCGTTCGCCGCCAACAAGATACTCGTCGCTCGCGAAGCTACTCGTCAATTGCTCTTCGTCCCTCGCTCCTCATCAGCCCCTCGAACCGGTCACGGGTCTCTTTCCCCCCTTATCGCGCCCACCGCAATCTCCTCCAGCGCGCATCCACTTTGTGACCTCCTCGCCCACCATTACGTCTTACGTCACCATGACCCTGTCATCACCATCCAACCACGGCCTCGTCGCTGTGATGCTCGTGCTTAGCACATTTTCTCAAACCGCCTTGGCACAGCTCGCGAAGCGTAATGACAACTCCACCCCCGCCGAACGCAAGAGGACCATTGCCATTGTCGTCGGCACTATCGTGTACGGATTCCGTCCCTTTTTTTTTTTTTTTTTTTTTTTTTTTCCCCACTCTAACCTGATTCTAACAATCGCAGCGGCGTCGGCCTCGTCGGTGGCCTCATTCTCCCTCTACTTCCTCCACCGTCGCATGCAGCGTCGCGAGCCGCACAGGAAGCCGAGAGGTGACGCCCATCTCTGAGCTCTGAGAGGCGATATCGACGACTCTGGACTACCCCGCCATGCCGCGCGCCCAGCAAGCAACGCGAGGGCCAGACCCCAGCGAACCCATTCGAGCCGCCGCGTGACCGCCCTTATGAGAACGGCGACATGAAATGATGAGGCTGAGAAATGCCTTTCCATCTCTGCTCGACAACGCAGACGGCGGACTCGCTCCGCGTACGTCTGCCTGGCCTCACCAACATGGTGCTTCGGTCACGTCTTGGCTTCATTTGGGTCAGTGAATCAAGTAATGCTGTTTGGGAATGCTACGGGTCTGGCGTTGTCTTGGCTATTCTTCCGTATTACCGCGCGTCGCACGCCTCTCCTATAGGCGAATGTTGTATATCACCGCCGGCGTATCTGGACTTTTTTCTCTTCTTCAGTGGCCAGTCCGCGTCCATGTGTATGCCTTGCTACTTGCTCGCCACTAAGGTTTGCGCCAAGTGACACGGCTCCCGTGACAGTCGCCTGCATCTCAGTCTCCGAGACAGTTCGCCACGTTCTTCTTGTTCGTACTCTGTGTCACTGTGCTCACCAAGCCCCAGGAGCTGACGGCTGAAGAACCCCCGCGAGATGCTCCCCGTGGTGGTGGTGATTGATGCCTACGAAACGCAGAGCATTGCTGGCTGCCTTGAGGCCGCCGCTCTAGTTCAACAATGCCCCTGGAAGCACAAAAAACAAAAGTCCCCTAGGCACCAGGATTCTAGCTCTGCCAGCTGCCGTATCCAGTCGCTGCGCCGCTCCAGCCGCGCTGAGAACGCGGTGCACGCCGGCCGAGGGAGCGTCGACGCAGCCCGCCCCGCCGGCCCAGGCTACCCAATGCGGCCCACGGCAGCGGCGCAGCACAGCCAGCCCCTGGCATACTCGTTTCGTCCGCCAATGGCGCGAGATCCGGAGACGGGAATGCAGATTTTAAGCTTATCTGGCTGTACCTCCAGGCTCACGTCAGAGACATGGGGTCGAACGGAGGCTCAGAGGAGAGGAAAAGGTAGTCTTCTGTTGACGGGTTATAAAGAAAGAAGACGTACGCAGGCGTTGCGATGAAGACCTCGCGATCGTCAGTCTTAACTGCAATACGTACCACTACATCACCTGCCATACATCGTGGCGCGGAGCGCGGAGGGAAAAAGAAAAAAAAAACCCCACCAGATACTTCAACACCAATCTATCTACCTGACGTTTGCCTACACTACCCCACACAACACCATGCACATCGCCATTCTCGCCCTCGCGGCTGTCCTCCCGTCAGCCCTCGCCTTTGAGATCACCTCGCCCCAGCCAGGATCCACCCTCAACCTAAACGACACGTCGATCAAGCTCACGTGGGAACCCACCGAAAGCAACGACAGCGCCCTCAGCTCGGTAACCATCGGCTGGCTCCTCCAGAGCCAGGGAAAGACCGTCGCGGGCGCCGGGTACTCAAGCACCGGCGACATTGCGGTCAACGTCAGCCAGCCGCGGGTCACGTCGTACGACTGGGATCCCGCGCAGGCAAGGGAGGCGCTGGCGAACATACTCCCGCAGGGCAACGGGGCGGTCACGTTCTACCTGCGGTGGGTGCACGGTTCGGCCACGTACGGCCTAGGAGCCGGATCCGCGGTGGAGTATAGCCTCGAGGGGATCGAGAGGCCCGAGTTGGAGTCGGGGGCGGGTGGCCTCTCGGCTGGCATCTGGGCTGCCGCCGGCGCTGGGCTTGCGGCTGTCATGTGGATTGTGAGGGGATAAGGGTCACGGGTTCCGGGTTCGGTGTGCATGATGACTGGCGTTTGATCAATGGCTTGTCCGGGAGTCTGCTGCATGGTGTTTAGTGGCGTTCGTCGCGTTCCTGTTTGGGTCCTTATTAGAGTACCTAGGGGCTTGCCCTCCTATGTCATTGTTCACAAGAAATTTCTCCAGCGATGATCCAAAGGGTCGAATTTGAGAGTAAACGACCTGCAACCACTACCACCTCGGACATGGACGAAAAGGCGTCCTGTCACCCCTTCTGGTAGAGCGTCATTGACCACGACAAGCGCCTTGTCCTACCGCTGTATTGGACTCGCAATTTTTGCTATCGCAGCATTGAGGGTGTAGAGCATCGCATGTAGGTTGACGAATCCTGTTTCCAACTTGGACGACAAGCTGTACACTTCTTGTTTAACGTCTTGCAACTCTTCCAGCATTGTTTGAAACATTTCGTGTTGCTGTGATTCGTCCGCCGGGATGTAGGGCGGCTCCCATTCGGGTTGGGGAACCGGCAACTGTGTAGGCTGGGACAAATCCAAAGGGTTGCTTTGCAGATAACTTGCCGGGTCAGACAGAGGAAACATATCGAGGGGTAGTTGGGGTGAATCAGGGAGGCCAAGCAGTGGCATCTGTGAGCAAGCACGTCAGCGTCGCGTTCTTCTTGAAACCCATGTATGGACGAATCCTTTTTTACGTAGGGATTGGGGTTCCACGGCTGTGGCTGTTGAATGAAGGTGTTGGTGGAAAGCTGGTTGTCCTGCGTCGGCAGTTCCTGAGGAGGTGGGTCCTTTTTAACTCGTTTGCTCGGTTGACTGCTCTGTGATGACTCGCAATTCGTCTTTGAGGCTTCTTCTTGCGTTGACGGTTTCTGTTTACTCTGTCTTTTGTGTCGACTGCTCCGTGGTGCTTTGCGTATCGCCTTTGGAGAGTTTCCTTGAGCTGTGGGCTCTTGCTGGGTCTGATTACTCGGACAACTGCTTCGTGATGATTTGCGTTTGGCCACGAGGGAGGTGCCTTGCGCCCCGTCATTTAGTGAATACTGCGATAGCTCGTCACTCATGGCGAGTAGCTAATGCTTGATATGGGGTGCGGGTATGGGTATGTGAGCATGTGAAGACTGGGATGTTGATGCAGAGGTCATGTCAGATGGAACGTGGAAGACGTAGGGTCGGTAGGAGAAGAGGCATGAAGGCAACCAAGCACCCTAGCATGAAAGTCATTCTTCACGTGAGGTAGGTGCTTTAATTAAGGTATGTCACAAGCCAGATGTCGGGAAGGTGGGAACTCTCGTGAGGCAGGCTCTATTAGGCCTGTGCCTTCTGACCAGCTGGCCTTCGAAAGTATCTTCCTACGTACCTTACATCGGCCGAAGGATCACACGGTCTGACCTGTCCTCTTGGTGTCAATAACGATCCTCTTCTACCGGGTGTACGCAGGCAGGTACTTGATGACAAAAGTGCCCAGATTCCTGCAATCTCCCAGGAAAATCTAGACTAGATGCTTCCGTCAAAAGCCTACGATCCAGGCTTCATCATCAAATCAGACAACCATCTCTTAGCATCACATGCGATACTTGTCACCACCAAATCCATCATGCCGAATATGTACGACCGAGGATCAGGGCTGACTTCTCGCATGGCGGCAGCATGTGGGTACATGTCCCGTGTATCAATGGGGAACGCAGATCATGGCAAAACCTCTTGGTCCGTTTGAGTCGATTATTTATGTTCTAACTCCTACACAGACAGCCCTCACGCCTTCGTCTGCTTCAACAAGTCCGAGATCTTCACCATGCTGACAGTCACCTTGTTGGTGGTGCTCGGCGGCAGCTTGCCGGCGCCCATGATGAGCAGGAAGTCGGGGTCCTCCTCCATGACGCGAATGTGCCTCGTGTACGCCGCATCCTCGGGCACCGTGTACGCGAGCCAGGCGTCGGGCGCGCCGCCCTCGGTGTTGATGTACAGGTCCTTGCTGCCGCTGCTGACAATGATGGACCCGTGGCAGCCACCGACGGGCGACCAGACGACGACTGGGCTGCTGATGGGAAAGGCGCCGCCGGGGACGGGTTGCGTTTGTCGCGTTGATGTAGAGCGGCTCGGCGTCGGCGAAACGGCGCGAGTCCGCGGCGATGCGGTAGTAGAGCGGGAACGTGTAGGGCGTCAGGATGTCGGCGCCGCCCCACTCGTACGCGTAGATGTAGTCGCCCTTGGGCAGCTTGGTGACGTACGGCATGCCGGGGCGATCCGTGTAGCGGGGCTCTGAGATGTCGATGACAACGTCTGACCAGGTGCGGAGGTCCTTGGTCGTCTGGTGCGAGATCTCCTGGCCGTGCTCGGCCGAGCGCTGGTCGGCGTAGTAGAGGATGAGCTCGTCCTCGTAGATGCTGCCTGCTGTCAGTTTTTGTCTCCTGGCAAACACGGCGAGAAGGAAAGGAAAGCAAAAACGTACATAATCATGGGCTCCCAGACGGGTGTCTCCTCGTTGTTGGGAATGGCGCGACCGCCAGAGGCAACGTGCGAGACGAACTCCCAGGTGCGGCCCTTGTCGAGCGAGGCGTACACGTCGATGCGCGTCTGGCTGAGGTCGGTGGGGATGCTGTTGGACGCCGCGAGGACGGTGCCGGCGGGGAAGCCGCCAAAGTCCTGGCGCAGCTCGTACAGGAAGGGCTGGTAGCGCAAGCCCCAGCCGTTGACCTGGTCGGTGACGCGCCCGACCTCGCCCCACGACAGACCGCCATCGGTGGACTCGTAGATGGGGTGCCACACCAGGGGCGGCTCGGGCGAGTAGTTCTCCCAGGTGGCGAGGAGGCGACCGTCGGTAAGCTGGACGGTGCGCGGGTAGAGGACGCGGGGGTCGGTGTAGTTCGAGGGCGGCTGGAAGATGAGCTTGCGGTCGAACGTCTCGAGGGCCGACGTCAGCGACAGGCTGAGGGCGCTGACGGCCGCGAAGAGGGCGGAGCGGAGCATGATGGGGTGGTTCTCTGGGCTAGCGTCTCTTGTGGAAAAAGCAGCACCTGGCCTGAGGGAAGTCTCTCTTCAGCAAGAGGGAGCGAAGGGGAATCATCAGTGTTTATAGAGCATCATCTCGGCGCTGCGACATGTCCACGCGACGATGGCATGACGATGCAACGCTGCCCTTCCTCGGCAGCGGGTCAATCCCTTCGAGCTTCTCCCAGGCAGAATGACAAGATCACATTTCGGCCGACCGTTGAACCAAGCAGGAAAGCAGTGTGGCGTTTGTGACCCCATTGGCCTCGGCATGCGCTCCAAACAAAAGCCGGCGCGAGATTGACACCATTCCCAAATCCGAATCGCGGGCCGACCATTATGTCAACCCCAACAATTAGTGCGGGGATTCATGCGGGGAAACTCCTGGAAGTGCCGTGTTGTGGGCGACCGGAGGCGGTTATACCCCTGGCCGGTGTGATGCGCACCAGTCACAATGGAGGAGTTCTGCAGGACTTCGGAAGCGGAGAGACGAGGTGGCTGGCAAATCTGCAAATCTGCCAGGCAAAAGGGCGGGAGGAGGGGGGGCGCTTCCCGCAGGTTATCAGCCGATTGGAGGCGGCATATTCTTCCTTTGCCCTCTGTTTCGTTTAAGGTTAGGTGTAACGGTTCTGTCCGAGTTCGTGAGTCGAGGGCTGTTGACATGGCGGGGGTTCTGCTCGGTCTTCGGAGGGTCATGACCGGGAGATGGGTTGGGGTTCTTGTTCATTCGCTTCCTGAGGCTCGAAGCTTTTCTGGTTGTTGTTGGTTATCGTGGGAAGGGCGCCAACGGGTGGTTGATCTGAAATGCCTTTGTAGCTGTTCGCTTGGGCATTGTGATTCGTGACGACTGATCCCATTGTTGACGCTGTGTTGGCTGGAATACAGCCCACAGAAAATGAGCTTGGAAGATGGGCGCAAATGTGATTCACCTCTGCGCGCAGCTCAACGGCTGTCTCATGCCCAAGGTCGCTGAAGCTGATAGTCGTGCTACCGAGTCTCAACCTGCTCGAGCTGATGCACCTCACTTACTTGAAGCGCCCTAACCTGGCCTAGGGTGCGTTGAGATCACTGATCCAAGTGCTGGGATGGAATTTGATCGTGAGTAATCTGCCAGAAGGCTATGCTGGCAGAACAGTCGGCTAAAGGAAACTACCTAGGTAGAAGGCGAGAAATAACTGAAGGGACTCAAGTAACGTTCCAAGCTGAGGAGATTCTTGACCAAGAAAAGGCGAGGCAGCCCAGCGCTCAGTCAGGCGTTGTGCATCGCTGGACGCTGGCATCAACGATGAGTGCTGATGAACAGGTGGGTAACGCCCGAGCTGATGTCCCCCAGGGTCATTGAGATCCTAGCAACGCACCTTGGAATGCCATACAGGAGTGTCCAGTCAGTCGGTCTCGCTTCAAGGAGCCGCATGGAAGATGACCTGGCGATTGGGTGCGGCACAAATGTGCACGGCGACGGAGCGCAGATCGGCAACCACATCCTCTTCCTACATCGCGCCGAACCTCCAAACCCGTCTTCGCAATGGAGGAGCTCAAGCCTCGGCCGCGTGGCTGACGTTTGTCGGACTGGCTGTCAACCCACCACACACGCAAGGTCAGCCGCAAATGTGCACTTGTCCCAAAACAGTAATTATCGAGTTGATGGGGGGTGGACCCTGGCTAAGGCCTTCTGTCGGTCGGTTCCGCGGCATGATTACGAGGCTAAGTGCGCCCCTGATTTTGGATGATGAAATTTTGACTTGCATTGGCAATGCTTGTTGTTGCGTCCTTCAACTCACCACCGTTTGAGCACGAAGACTGGTTGAGCAGGCGATGAGCATCACATTGCTTGATGTCTATGATACGCGCAATCCCGTCGGTGGGATGTCCGGGTGATGCCTTGTGGACCGAAATGCGCTTGACCCGGACCCTGAGTCCAGTTCCATCACGGTGATGTCGTGGCCAGAGGCTTGGAGTCTTACGCACCCTACCTATGCAGGCGATTCCGCCCAGGATACCAGAGGTGGCAGCAGTCAGCGACATCTTTTCAACTGCCGACTTCTTCACGTCAATGCTGCACAGCCCCTGTGGTTCTTGCTGTCAAGTCAGACGTGTTTTTTGGAAAGTGAGATCAAACCCCTCACACGATTTCATCCCGGATCGCAGGGTCAAACAGAAAGGCAATGTGTGACGCATCCGCATCGAGCGAAAAAACATGCTTGACGCAGCAGCTTTCGCGTCCCCATCTCTGACAAGAGCTCGCAATCATCTGCAGAGTGTCGTTGGAGTTTCGCAACCCGCACGAGAAACTTCGCCGGACATCGCTCTCAATGCTGCCGAGGTTATATCTGTGGGTAGCAGTGGCTGCATTGGTAATGTCAAGATAGAGAAAAAGGTCTCAATGATGAGAGGTTGTCAGCATCGCAATACAGTGAACAGGACATAGTCGCCGGCTCAGTTGCCCGTCTGTTCCTCCTCAAGCTGCCATACTTCCTATTACATCGCATTCTTGAGGGCTTTTCGCTGGCGTGGTTGCGTTCGATGCTTCAAAGGATGAAGCAAGAGCCATCCGAGCAAGCACTCGTAGAGCCGTCTCCCAAAATCCTTGTTGGCTGAACCACATTGATGCCGCGACTACCAAAGTACACCGTAAAGACGCATCAGTGACGAAACAAGAAGAAGCTGTCGAGGGGGTACGCAGGGGTTGAGGATCATAGCTGCAACACTGGGTTTGCCTACCGCCAGGCTGGCGTGGGTGGTTCGGCTGGAGTGACCAGGTTGCGTCGTTGGTGCGCCGCTGGGACGGTTCGGTGTGGTGGACCGGGCCTCCTTTGATACCGGGGAGGGATGACAAACAACCATGGGTAAACCTTGATGCGGTGTCAGGGTGGCCAGAGATCTTTGATTAAAAGAAACCAAAGGCTTGAGCTTCCGTGGGGCATGTTTCAGAAGTTACAGAAATGTCCGAAAAGGTAAGCAACTTGGTAGATAATAGGAGGCAAGATTACTGTGAGCCGGTTACACGCGGGGGAGACCCAGTAGAATGTTGCGTGAGGTTGGAACTAAATACGAGTCAGCGAATCGAGTCAACTGGGGCGGATCGAATCCTCCATCATCGTAGCCGGACCTGTAGCCAGCCCTATCCGGACTCTGGTCTATACCGACGGCGGGATTGTCGGGCAAATTAGTGTCAGCCATGCGAGTCAAGCTCTTGTTCAGCATGTGTCCAAGGACTCCCCAGCCCCAGGACTCTGTTCACGGCTGTCCTGGTCATATGTTGCCCTGGATGGCCTGTCTGTCTGGCACGCGTCAGGTCATGAGCGACGATTTCATCAAAAGCCTGACGTGCCAGCACCTTTTGTGTCTGATTCGATCGATGAATTCATAGACGGAACATCGTTGACTGCACATATCCCTGGCGGGCATCGATCCTTCTCCCTGTTCTCTGCCATCGAGTCAGGCGCTCGAAAACGACCAAAGAAAACATCTCGATGACCCAGGGCCCGTGATCATGGTGTTCTTCTCGCCTGCATGGCGTCACGTATGCCAGGAAGCCTGAATCATGGATAATCCTACCTTACCATGGGCAAGCTCGCATCACGTTGCTGTCTGATTTGGACACGGTCATCCCCAGCTCCAGCTGCACAATGTCACTCATTTCAGCTGGCTTGAATGGCTCCTTTGACGCTCAGGTAGATTCGTTGCCATACTCGCAGGAGTAATAGTCCAGAATCCTCCGTCGTACGATTTACCTCGGCCAGGGCACTGTGGATATGTCAAGGAGATTCGATAGGTTCGAACAACCGGTGGCAACTTCCGACAGGACTCGAAATGTCCACGCCAGCCTTTTGTAGGCTGGAATAGTTTTGGACAGTCCTCGGATGTCGAGAAAACCATATTCAGTTCACACAATTGCCAGGTGGATTGGGTCCCGAGATTTGTGAGCATAGACTCATAATACAAGACATCAGCTCACAGCAGCAATAGAAGGTCGGGGATGGATGTGACGACACACATAAGGTATCCGGGGTCAAGGTCAGTTCGGAGAGGTTCGAAAAAGTCAGGCAAGGTGGCGACTTTGTTGGTTCGAGGCTCGACTGTACAACTCCGGCTGGGTGCCTTCATATGATGGGTGGACGCTGCGCTCAGAAAGAGGCCGTCATACCATTTACTGAAAAGCAAGGAGTAGCATTCTGACGACAGACGGGCTCTTGGTTCACTGCGAGAGAGCACCGTGGAAGGAGGAGACGGTACCCACGTAGACCTTGAGTATTTGGGCTGGTTCTGTAGGCTGATCCCAGCCAATGTCAGGTCGGGAGTGAAACCCAAGCCGACAAATATGGTGATGAGGCTATGACACTGACACGCACAGCTTGTCGATGTCCTTTGCAGGAAAATGACCACACGGCGCTTGACTCAATAGAGAGACTCCGCATCAGCCATCGGAGGTCGGAGGTCGGGCTTCTATCAAGTGCCGTTCTGGTGGCTCGTTGGCTAGAAAGCAAAGTCTTGCAAGATACCTGGACACCTGAGCACGACACGGCACCAGGAGCTCGTGGAGATGAAACGCCTGCAGGGAAAGGCATCTTACTCAGTGCTTAGTACAGGTAAAGAGGCTTCGTTAGTCGCCCTTGGGACCACGGAAAATATGGCGCCGCCTGTCCCCGCCGACTGGGCGGTCCACACCTGCCTGCTCCGGTGGATTGGATTGCTTGAATTGCTGGATTGCTGTGCAGGTGCGTTTGGGGGTTGTCCCTGCCAGTTCTGCCTGTTCGCCTGGTCCGTTGGCTTCTGCCGTATTGGTCATTCGGGTGGTTCCTGCCTCGATTGGCTTCCCCCGTGACAACGTGCTCGAGATCGCGACAGAAGCCTAGTCAGGACGGAAAGTCAGGGCCAGAACTGGTGCAGGTGCAGGTGCAGCAGGTGCAGCTCTACCGCCGCTGCCCCAGTTGCGCATACCCCTCGTCGCTCCACTCAGCGTTTCAGTGCAAAGCAGCATCAAGTCACCTCGGCACGGGCAGACGAACAGATACATTAAGCAGGCAGGAAGAAAGAAGCACACACCGTCACTATCACTGTCACCACACCGCACTTTGAATGCAAGCACGCACGATACAGCAGGCCACCTTCAGTACCTGGTTCCCGTGGTCCTCTAGCCTTAGCCTCTCCTTCTCGCGGGAGGCGGAAAGTGCTTTATAGGGGCCCCTCTTCGCTTAGCCTTCCCCCGATGGCCTCCTTCTCGCCCTGTCTTACGCGTCTATTCTTTCCCCTTGCTACCCCCACCGATGCCCCCAACCAGTCCTTAGGCTCATGATCCTAACTCCTTAATCCGATCCATAAGCACAAACGCCAACGCCAACGCCATTATCCGGTACCCAGCTCCATACCATCACCACCATCGCCACAAGCCACCATTTTCCTCACATTGCTTGAACGTTGTTCTCGCACTCTACGGCCTTGGAGGGAAGGTCCTGTCATCATGCCGAAGCGCGTAAGGACTTCCGCGGAGCAGCAGACTCCCGACGAAGGCAACCAAGTTGGCTCGGAACCTGAGCCCACGACCGTGGCCGCACGCACTCGGTCCTCGCGTCGACAGCCTCCCAGATCTTTCAGCAGCACACCCGTTCAGCTTCAGGTCGGGAAATCAACTGCCATGGCGGTTGAGCTTGACGAAGGAGAAGTCTCTGCGAGCGCACGCAAAGAACGTAAACGATTGACCGACAGAGTTGCTCAGCGCGAACATCGCAAACGTCAGAAGCAGTACATCGAAGAGCTCGAGGCCCAGCTCAGTATGCTCAAAGAAGGCGGCCAGTCAGACGTAGCGCAGCTAGCTGCCCGGAATCTTCAGCTGTACGACGAGCTCAAGCAGATGCATGCATTGTGGGATGAAATGGAGCAGCTGCTCTTGCGCCAACGGCAGCTGCGAGTAACGTCTACTGTCAACTTACTTTCTGCGAGACCCGATTCACAGATTGACACGCAGCTTGATAGGCTCGTGGCGCGAGAGGGAGGCCAAACTACCACGGACGAACCGCTGCAACCAGGTCAGGCGAGCCACTACACCGGAAGCCACGACGGGAGTCAGTCGCCGTATGCCGATGCCATCCCAGACGCTGACCCAGACCGGGACAACAGCGACATGTCTCAGGTACAGGATGCGAAAGGCCAAGCCATGTCCACTGCAGCGCAGCATAGCATGTTCATCATGCCAGAGGACCAACATCGGGACCATGAAAGCAGCCGCGCTCGTGATCATTCACACAGCACGGTGGATCATTCAACCTCAACTGTCACTTCGGGCTCTCATCGTCCCTCTCTTCTCAGCTCCGCCGATGATGGCATGGAGTTTGCCTTGGCAACAATGTCCAACGATTCATGGCAACGCGCTCATCAACAACATGTTCCATCACAAACAAGACCCTTCGAACCGACTTGGGAATCCTGGTCTCGTTCTCATGAGGACGTCTCGGGCGACCAGCTCAACCAAAGAACCTTTGTCGCTCGACCGTATCCTACCAATAACTCGTTCGAGGGGGGGACGACACCATACGAAAATCAGACTACGATGCCCAATCCTGAAAATTTGAGCATCCTCGAACTACTAGAGAATTATGTTGGCCAGTGCGTCTCGCCCCTGAGCCTTTGTTTTCCAAACCCCAGCGGTGGTCCGAGGCATCATCAAATTCTACCCCTGGTCACGTCGCCTAATATGCCACAGGACATAAAAGTACAAGCCATGATTGAGCGGACTCGAGTCAATATGCAACATGTCAGGCCGCCAAAACTATCCGACTTCTTATTCGATGACCCTCAGAATACACTTTCCCTCGACCTGAAGATGTTTTTGGAGCCTCTTCGAAGAGCAAGGCGAACTTCCGAGTATCTTGCAGGCTACTGGGTGCTTTATCTTTTGTTCAGGGTAGGCTGCTTACACCACTACCAAGGATCCATTTGGCAGGCCTTTGCGCAGCGAGGCGCTGTTTTCCTGGCTAGTCTTTGCTGATATCTCGGATAGTGGCAAGCTCTACAAACCGAAGAAGCATTTTTGAGCCTCCCAACCTGGTTGCGGCCAACACCACTCCAGCTCAATGTCTTACACCCCCACGCTGCGGACCACATAGCTTGGTCAGTGCCTGAAAGGACTGCCCTTCACACTCCCAGGATGTGCGTATATCTAATGTGGATAACAGGCCCGCTGCCAGAGAAGACTTCATACGAATATCACACACCGCTCCCAACGATATTCACGACATATCGTCAGCATCGGCAAGTTTTTGGTTGTGGATATTGTAACATCAGATCCAATGTTGCTCAGCAGCCCACAGCGCCTTGAGGCAGAAATCACGAATCTGGCAAACTGGAAGCTTGGAGACGGGTTTTACGATCGATATCCACACCTGCGTTCTTGGCAAGTGCCTCAAGGAATTATTTCGGTGCAAGCAAAACAAAATGGTCAATGAGACCACCTTTTTCCCGTCATGCAGAAGGTTCGGAGCATTTTGGAGCATCAGCCCTCCGTGTTTGAAGGTCTGCACAGCTCAATGGTGAGTGGCCTCGTTTATGGCAACCCTTTGACACCAGGTTCACCCGAAAAAAATACTTGGGAATCAAGATGCTCCGGCAACTCATATTTGACACTACCAAGAGTCCGGACGTTTTTGGGTTTTCAGATTGGCAGTGAAGCGGAATGCCAGGTTCAGCGCAGCGTAATCTGAATAATAGATGAGACGAGGTCGGGGAGGGAGTAACACAGCAGCATAGTGTGCTGCTCCAAAGAGGTCCAGCTTTTCACCAGCTTAGCTGCCAATACCCAAGCCTGGGACACCGTCGGTAAGATCCGAACAAACCCGACCCAACCTAATACGAAGGCGCCCCAGCCATTTGACACTTTTGCGCTCACCGCCTGCATGCTTGCTCCAAACTCATTGACCAGTGGCTTCCAGTTACCTGAAGCGTACCCACGTACTCGAGTTTATGACTTTTCGCTATGTCAGGACCCATGCACGCCAAATACATAGCATCCTCGGAGACACATGATCTGCCCTAAAGATTACACGTGTCGCTGACAGCAGTGTACGGCAACCTCGGCACAGTGAGTTTTGTCAGAGAGCTCGCTAAGATTTTTTGCCGCTTACTTGACTTCGGGGGTGACCCTCGTGAATGGGACGCGCGGTCTGGTCTGGGACAAGTGAAAACATCATGAAAGGGCGCATCGGCAGATATATATCACGTATCCGGCCGGACTCGAAAAGTCCGGGAGTTGAATCCGGGCGCTTCGCCCGGAAACTGCGTCCGAGTCGCGCAAGTCCGGGAATCCAACTAGGGCCAGGGGCCGAGCTAGGTGGGTCACTATATCGCGCCAGGACTAGTGCTGCGAGCTTGGATTGTCCTTTTTGGCATTGTTCCACGCGGTTCGTAGTGCAAAGACCGAACGAAGCATGGTGCTGTCAAGTCCATGGGTGCCTTCCGCCTTCCTTGACCGACGAAGCACCGCTGCCTCGAAGCCGCGGCACGGTTTCGAGGCAGCTGATGTTCCCTTTCTCTGCTGACGGTGCCGGTTCGAGCATCATGCTAGGACTTTATCGGCGGCTGGAACGAGGGGCGGTATTCGCGTCGTCTTCGTGCAGGAGAAAACAGGTAGAGGCAGGACTGAAGACCCGGGTATCCGGGGGACGACCTGACGTTTTCTTTACTGAAGCTGCTTTAACAAGGTAGGGACAACCTGAGGGCTTGTGAAATAAGATCCGACATGCGCAACAGATATTGTTGCTGGCTGTACTGTCAGTTGTAGCGTCAGCTACACGCAACATCTATCTCGTATGGACAGCTCCAAGTCTTCTTATGTCTTTTTATGTCTTTTTATGAAGATGGATCCTCGAAAGCCCACAGTCGTCAAAGGCGCCGCGTTGTTATTACATGCTGACTTGACCTGACACTGGTCAAATTATGCGTTGACTGACATGCGAAAGAATCGATTCCACATGTTTGAACCACCGGAAGGCCCTTTATGCGTAGGGTACGCAATCGAATACGTAGGCGGTCGTATTAAGGTTGTGGGAAAGGCACGTCGGGCTCGAAAGTTACATAGGCAACGAACGAAAACTATATGTGTCCTGTTCGAACTCTCTTGTTAGCCGTAGACCTGCCAGTCCTTTGGGTCAGGATACCATTCAAGGGGTTGGTCTGACGATAAATGATAGAGATTGTCATGTTTGCGTCTCGTGCCTTCGGCTCCGCTTTCAAATACGAGGCGTCCAGGCGGTGACGAAATGCAAATCGACAAATCGAAAAAGATGTTGTCTTGGTAGTCCCTGATAGTTCTGTGTTGTCGCTCCATGGGCTAGAGTTTCTGCGGTGCAGTGATCGTAGTGGTATGGCTTGGCAAGTTGGCCTGAATGTAGCTTCATTGCTTGTTTAATGATGAAGGAGTAACATCTTGATTGACTGGAAGAAAGTAGGTTACACAGAAGGGACCTCCGTAGTCTGACTTGGTCGCCGAAACATGCTGTTGATTGTCGAGGGGCGGTCCAGTCAGCTGCGTCAGTCAGCTGACAAAGTTTGTTGGCATCAGCCGTGTCGGCTTTCAACGAGTTACGGCTCCGCGGACTTGGCAGGGGAGGGACTCGATCCACTGCCTGCCACCTTTCCTACTTCATTCATGGATGAGCTCAATGTCCGGTTCTCTTGTCGGGTGTACTCAAACATGGGAACAAAGGCAACCGGTTGTCTTCCACTCTGACACCTATGCTTCGATCTGACAATAGGCCGAGGTATTGTCAAGTGGATTCTAAGTGCCACGGGGAATAAAAGAGGGCCTAATCGCGCTTGGTCCAAGTGGCATGTCGACGATTTTATGGGCACTGGTTTGATTCATTGCCAAGCGGTTCCCGAGAGAAGCAAGCCCCGCTATTCCCGCTGCTATCCAAAGTGTCCTTTCTCTCACGTCCTATCTCCTACTCCCCGTGAATCGTCTCCCATCATCTTCTGACCGGCTCTCCCCTATCAGGCATCTCTGCATGATACTTTCACCATCTATCTCTCCACCGTTTGTGGATCTTCATCCCGTCTCTCATCGATCCGCTGCCCCTTCGAATCGATCTCCTGTCCGGTCACTCAATCGTGCCGGATCTCAGCGGTGGCTGGTCCTCATCAACCCTTTAAAGGTACTGGTTGATGAAGGTGCGGGCGGCGCCAACGCGGGCGTAAACACCGGGAGCGTTGGGAGCAGCGCAGCCCTCACCCCAAGAGACAACACCGACGAGAGTCCTGGAGCTGGCCTCGATGATGGGGCCGCCGGAGTCACCCTGGCAGGAGTCCTTGCCACCGGCAGCGAAGCCGGCGCAGATCATGTTCGTGGTGACGGCAGAGGTGCCGTAGTAGGAGCGGCAGGTGGCGCGGGAGATGATGGGGACATCAACCTTCCTCAGGGCGGTGGGGAGGGTGCTGCCGCCGGACGAGGTGGTTCCCCTTGAGTTGCGTGTCAGCTATCCTGAGAAACCATTCGGTGAAGACCCGGGGGATCACAAGACTTACCAGCCAGCGGTGGTGGTGAGAGTGTTGGCGGCGGGGTCCGAGTTGGCGGCGGCCAGGGTGGCGTAGCTGATGGTGGAGCTCGTGGGGATGGGAGTAGCGAGCTTCCAGATGGCGAAGTCGTTGTCGTACCTCGAGGCAACGTAGCCGGGGTTAACGACGATCGAGGAAACACGGACAAGAGTGCCACCGGAGCTGCGGTTCTGCTCGAGTATCAGTATACTGGGCATGTGTGATGGCTGGATCAGGGTTCACATACCAGGCTGCCGGCGCGGACAGTCACGGAGGAAGCGCTGACGCCGGTGCTGCAGTGAGCAGCGGTCAGAACGGTGTTGGCGTTCAGAAGAGATCCGCCGCAGAAGTGGGAACCGCTCCTCTGCAGGGAGACGATGAAGGGGAAGTCTCCAGCGCTGGCAGCAACGCCGCCAACGATCTGAAGCTCCTCCTGGGGGGCAGGGACGGGCGAGCCGAAGGCGACGGCGGCGAAGCCAAGAGCGGCGACGAGAGTCTTAAAAACCATGATGAAGAAGCGAGCCGGGTGAGGAGCTACCGAGAGATAGTTGGATACTGGACTGAGGGGACTGAAGTAGGATGAGATGAGATGAAGGAAAACGATGACATGGACGACGATGGCTTCGCCATCTTTATAGTTACAAACTTCACGTCAACTCGCGATGCCCCTATTTTGTAACCTTCCATTTTAGTGCTTGGAAAATCATGGCACAAAACGAACCGCTGCGGCATGTCCTTCCAGATAGGGACTATCACGGCAGTCCTATGGACTCTATCCACAAGTCTTCTGCAGGAATGAGACCTTCCGTATGAGGTCTGAACTTCCAGAACATGTGAAAGTTCCGAGGGCGCTTGCGGAGGGCTGTGTGTCTAGCTCCGACGAGCGTGGGCGACACACGTCTTGCTCGCCTACTAGAGAGCGAGTTCTCTTTCGTGTCCAAGTTGACATGACCGCTCGAGTAGGTGTTTCACCTGTGAGAGATACGATCTTATACTGCCCGCAGAGAAGTACTGCAATATTCTATTCTGACATAAACCTCTGATTTCTCTCCGCATACCATGGCGTTGATGGTGACTTTCAACAAGAACGGGACGATAGATGACACCGGGCCACCCACATACCGATCGATCACATCAGCGGGGGTTCCATAAAGGTCCTCACGGCGCTAGTTTCTATGTACAGACAAGGCTCTGCTGCCGACGATCATCTGTGGGGGGAACTAATGTAGATCATCTATGAGGCGTCGAAGACTAAAGCTTGTTCTTTCAATACCACCTTCTACGAACGGACAGGCTAGCTACAGCCAACCGTTTGGTAGGGGCGATAGATTAGTCTGCATAGCACCATGAGTGTTGTCGCTTGCGTGACGCGACTGATCGTTACTGATTGGGACCAACGTTGACGGCGAATCATCAACGGGGACAAGTGCCGAGATATCGGGCTCTCCCGCATACGCTAAAGCTAAATCGGGCAGTTGCGATTAATTACCCCACGTTCATAAGATGGTATCTTCAGCTACGGAGGATTGCCCTGCTGTGAGCAGATCGCTCGGTCGATTTCTCATCTAGGCAGGCGGATCTGACGGAGCGCCGCGGAGAGTAGTTGCTGGCCGCTGACCGCAGCCTTCGCAGCGTCATTCGTCCCAATTAGAAGTACAGTAAACCTGCTCTCGTTGGCAAATCTGCGGATTCTCGCGACGCTCTCTCCGTCTTTGAAACATGAGACAAATGTCCCCAGCGCTTAAGCAGTTCCTGCTCATTTCTGGCGCTTTCATCGGTCTCTGGATCGTG